GGTAGCTATTGCTCCCGCGATAATTGCCATTACCTTGAGGCCCATTATTATAGGCCTGCAGGCATAAAGTTGAATGATGAGGTAAGTTGCAGGTGTAACATCTCGCCCTGGAGCCACAGTTGGCAATATTGTGGTTATCACGGAGGCAGTTGAAGCACAAATTGTTTCTTTTCACTGCGGAGATGCGTTCAGGTGTACTGAGTACGCATTTGAAGGCGGGATGTTGTTGTTGACAAAAAGGGCAAGCAGATTTGCTGCTCAAATTGTTTTGATGATCCGAATAATGATTAGATCCATTTCCTCTATAATCGGATATTCGTTGAGAACGACGAGGTGACTGATCTTCTTGGTCCAATTTTTCCAGTGTTGCAGACCAACTAAGATTTCCACGAGATTTCTTTTCTTGTGTTGAGGAATAGTCATATTTACGTGAGGAGTCGGTACCCCTTGAATGCTGTGGACTCCTGAGGTCCTGATTTTTTCTTTTTCTTGAATCCGAATCTTCATCCTTGTTTTTGTAGTTGGATTGTTTGTTGGATTCCTTCTCTTTTCCTTGCTTCTTGGTGGAAACGTTGAGAAATGTTAACGCTGTGGGAGACACTTCATCCTCTGGCGCTTCTGCTTTCAAAAATGTTCAAATCCACCGGTACTGATTTGCTGGGGTACTTTCCCATGTTGCGGATTCTGATGCTTGATGAAGGGGATTTATTTTTAACTCATGTAAAACGTTCGTAAGATGTCCTCCCTTGCGCAAATTATGCTTGATGGTTGACCACAGACGTATATGAACTTGAGGCATGTTGGAGCGTAAATTATGAAGTTGGGTGGTTATATCAACCACCCTTTCCATATATTTTGCCATATTGTCTGCTGTATGGCCATCTGGTTTGAGGTTGTCAAACATCTTGAATACACATTGCAGAGTAGCCTGGATATTCCCATATTCTTCAATAAGGATCTTGAGAATCCTGCAGTAATCGGATTCTTGTGTTTTGTTTGGTTCCCGGTCGACAAGATTGTTTGCTTTCCCTTCAAGGTAAAGTAAGAGCAGGCCAATTCTTTCCAATGGCGTGATGTACTTTGTTGGGATAATATGGATCTTTTGAAAGTTGGACCAGAAACGGTCAAACGTATATTCATCCTCCACGTTTCCAGTGAAACGTTTGAATGAGGGGAGTACCGTTTTCTTCTCCAAATCCCGTATAAATAACTTGGGTGGTTGCGGCATATCTTTTTCTGATGCGTAAGTTTGCAACGCAAGCAGATACGGGTCAACTTCGTCGTCAATGTCGAGTAATTTGTTAGACTGCGCTTGGTCGCCTTGATAGAGAACCAGGTCCCTCTGAGTGTTTGGAGCAAGATTCACTGGAGCGTCTTTTTCCTGAGGTGTAAATACACCTGGAGCTGGTTGTACGCGAGATAAATTCGGAAATTGCACTCCCATAATACATGGTTGTTTAGGCCTCAATTCCGGCCATTTGGTTTGGAGCTGCTCCGGTGTTTGGAAAATTATGGCATTCAATTCCTTGCATAATTGCAGGATTTGATGCTGCTTGTCATCCTCAAGATGATGATTTCTGAGCGAGATGAAGTATATGGACGCGGTCATGAATGTTTTGTGTTGTTGCACAAATGTTTGATAAGTATTTGCGCTTCGCGGTTGTTTATACGCTTCATCACACAAGTACGTGGCGTGCGCCAGAATCACAACCTGCTTGATGGTGGGGTTGGGATCAAACTGGGTCAACGTACTTGATGTTGAGATGCCCGTCATTGATAGAGGTGGTGACGGGTTTGGAGGAGCAGCAACGGGTTGCCGCGGCGGTCTGCCGGGTCGTCGTGTGCTCCTTGATGCTTCAGGTTGATTGAAACCTGGCAAATTTGCCGGTTGTACATGGGGTGGAGCATTTGCTCCCCCTGAATGTAATTGGAGCTGACTTGCGTCAATGATTTCACGATTCACAGGTACTGGCGAATCACCGTAGCAAGATGGCAGTTTGCTCATCCACGTACGCGTGAATGGAACACTGGCGGGTGTCGTGGATTTTCCGCAAGGCATGATGATGCTTGTGGATGTAGAATTTCTTCACTGCACTCACTGATGTCGATTTTTTGAAGACTTGGATGAAATTTCACCAAGGATTTCTTCTTCAAAGATTTTTCCAAGACTTTTTCACAGTCCCGTACTCTGATCTTGAGATTTTGTAGATAGTTTTTTACTGGCCACCACTTTTGTCAGGGGCTAATGAGCCTCAGTGACAAAGATTAATGTTTTGGTTCA